TTAGAGAGAAGGTTAGTGAACTTTTAGAAAAAGAAAGAAAAAGGCCTAATAAAAAAAAATAAGAGAGGTTTAATTATCTTTAATGAAATTGAAATGCACTGTTTTGAAGGAAGCCAAATAAACTAAAGCAATTTGACATAGAATGAAAACCCAACAGGTTAAGAACTATGTCTAGTGACCTGGTTTGGGTCTAGCCCTAATTGAAATAATTTGTTCTGGCTAGCATGAAGAAAATTCAAGCCTACTCTTTTTTTAAGATTGGATCAAGATTTTATTTAGGCCTTTCAAGGTTCAAGGTTCTTGGACTTCAATTTGGATTTAGATCAATAATTGGTTTAATATTTTTTATTTTGTGATATTGTTTATTATTTATTTTAATTATGGATGATTTAAAAATGTAATAATAATAATAATAATAATAATAATAATATTTTTGGAAAATAAACTCAAGATTCCTACCAAATGATTGGATGATTTAAATATCGAATTATGAGTTCTACTAAACTATTAAAAAATTTCATAATTAATTTTTTTAAAAAAATAATTTTTTAATCTTATCAAGCGATTGAAAGATTTAAATCTCTAAGTTAAATCTTACCAAATTATTGGAAGATTTAATGACTTTTTTTTAAAATTTTCATGAAAAGATTTTCAAATAAAAATCTTACCAAACTATTCGGGGATGTGTATCAAAATAAATTCATATCAAACGATTTGAGGATTTTATTAATTGTTTTCAAATGAAAAAATATTAATGAATCCGATGACAAAACCTTTTCAAAGTGGGACACAAATCTCCATGAATACTTTTGAGGTAAAAAAATTATCTTAAATTACTATCAAATGATTGGAGTAACTTTAAGACCAATTTCAAATCTTAAATTTACTTGGTAAAATTACAAACACATTTTAAGACTTGGATAATACAAAATTAAACTAGTGCCATCTTTCGGATGAGTGTTGTGAGGGTGCTTTAACTTTTTTCACACGTAATTGTACTTCAAATCTAGATATAATTTCATGGACTAGAATCTACCTTTTAAAGATATCTAAGATAAGTTTGGGATGTTTCTTTAAAATAAGATAGATTTGGTTAAGTGGTCAACTGCATCTAAATAAACAAAAAAAATTGATGATGACTCTTAAAATCAAGTCTGGCTCTAGGTCTATAAATCTATACATGATGATACTGACATGTAAATTTTCAAATATCAATATTACTTAAAGCATTCATAAAATCATCTATATAAGTAAAAGTTATAAATGTCTTAAATTGAGTCCCTAAATAAAAAATTGAGAGGTCTTAAATCGAGATATGTGGATGAAGAGGTGTTGAAAAGGGAGATAGACATGAAGAGTAGATTAAATGACTTCATGTAGTGGGAAGAGATTTATTTAAACATAAAAGAAGCGAAAAACTTTCATGCACAAGGAGGAGATAAAAATATTACTTTTTTTCATGCACAATCATCAAGGAGGCGAAGGACAAATCACATCCAAAAATTGGAAAATGAGAATAAGGTGTGGTGTGAGGGGGAAATAGAGCTGCAGGAAGTGGCAATGAGGTATTTTAAGGGTATTTTTAAATATCGAAGACCATCTAGCTATGATGATATCATTGAGGCAGTAACTCTTAAAGTAGCAAACGAGATGAACAAATTCCTCTTATCAGAGTTTATAACTAAAAAGATTTTTGAAGTTTCAAAACAAATCCATCCAATCAAGGCAACGGGTCTTGATGGTATGTCAGCTTTATTTTTTCATAAATTTTGGCATATAATAAGTAGTGAAGTCACTAGGTTTTGTTTGTCTATTTTAAATGGGGATGGGAGACCAGGTGATGTAAATGACACACACATTTGTTAATCCCTAAAGTCAAGAATTCCAAGTGTATATTGGGGTGATAATGGTTCGATCCAATTCAAACTGAATTTTATCGGTTAAGTTCATCGATTTTTAAAATTTTTTTTTGTTTTTTATATATTATTTTAATATGATTTTTAATATATTTAAATTGATTTAAATATAAAATAATTATTTTAATTTTATAAAAATTTAAATATATATAAAAGCTAATAAAAATATATAATTCTGTTTGATTTGATTTTTTAAAATTTTTTTCTTTTCAACCTGAAATTCAATATGAACCTAATATATACATTTAATATCCAAATTTAATTCAAATTGACTAAAAAAAATTGATTTGAACCGAACATTATGGTTTTGAATTGATTTTCTATTTTCTTAGTTTTTTCTTTCACATCCCTGCCTATTAGTCTGTGTAATGTAGTTTAAAAATCATTTTTAAAACACTGGTTAATAGGTTGAAACACATTTGTGTATTGGTGAAAACTAGAGTGCGTTTGTACCAAGAAGGTTAATTATGGATAATGTGTTGATTGCATATGAAATTTTGCATGCCTTGAAGATGAAGAAAAAGGGTAGAATAGGTTGGGACAATTAAATTAGGTATGAGCAAAGCTTACGATAAGGTACAATGGAGTTTTATAAAAACCATGATGAGGAAATAGAGGTTTAATAGACATAGATTAGGCTCATTATACACTATGTTTTGTCAATGTCTTATAGCATTAACTTTAATGGTTCTATCATTGATCAGTTTCATCCAGAAAAGGGCATGAGATAAAGAGACCCTCTTTTTCCCTATTTGTTTTTAATTTGCACAAAAGGACGTTCTAAGCTTTTGGTAAAAGACCAAGGAGAAGGTGTGCTACAAGGGGTTCGAGCTAGTGTGTATGGTCGAAGGGTTACTTATTTATTGCATATGACAATTTGCTTTTTGTAAAAGCATGTAATAGCAAATGCGAAAGAATGAGGCACTTATTAAAGATTTATGAAACAAGGCCTGGGCAGAAAATTAACTTCAAAAAAATTAGGGTTATTTTTTAAGAGGAACACTAGCAAAGACATGATAGACATGGTGAAAGGCATTTTTGGAAATCAAGTGACAAACAATCTTAAGAAATATCTTGGTCTACCTATGATAGTTGGCAGGAATAAGAAAGGAGCTTTCAAGGATATTCTTAATAGGTTAAAAGCTAGAATATAATGCTAGAGTCAAAGATGGATATCACAGGAAGGGAAAGATGTTTTCATAAAGGTTGTTTTACAAGCAATACTTTATATACAATGTCATGTTTTATGTTTGCAAATGATTTGTGTCATAAAATTAACATGATCCTCTACAACTACTGGTGGTGACGAGACCCGAAATAGAAAGGAGTACACTGGGTGAGTTGGAGCTGAATGTGCCTTGGTAAGAAGGATATAGGCATGAGATTTAGGGATATAAAGATGTTTAAGAAAGCTCTTATGGCTGAATAGGGATGAAGGCTGCTACAAAACACATCTTCATTGGTCTACAAAATCCTAAGGGCAAAATATTTCCTAGGGGTAGCATTTTTTGAAGCTAGGTTAGGGTTTTATCCATCTTACTCATTGCGAAATATATGTGCAAGGGGAGATGTATTGCAAATAGGGTTACGTTGTAGGGTTGGAAATGGCACACAAATTCAGGTTGAGAAAGAAAAGTGGATACCAACAGTAGACAATTTTGTACCAATTCCCAGGAAAGTTGACATTAAGGGTGAATTTAAGGTTATTTAATTTAATATTAGATGACATAAAGCAATAGGATATGGTGAAGCTAAAATCACATTTTTCACGTTGGAAATAGCCAAGAAAGTAGAGCAGTTCCCATTAGCAATATTGATAATCCAAATGTAATGGTCTGGCAGTATACTGACAATAAAGTGTACAGCGTGAGAAGTGGTTACCATATGCAGATGAATAGGTCAGTAAATGATGGAAAAAAACATCAGTGGAGCACATTGGGCTGGAGCTCAAACACAGGAGTGGTATTATTATGGAAAGCGGACATTCCTTCCAAAATAAAGGTGTTCAGATGGAGAATGTGCCATGATAGACTTGTTGTACATTCAAACTTGAAGAGAAAGAACATTGCCGATACGACAGTTTGTCCACGGGGCAAATAGCATGAAGAAACCACGTTGCATGGGATTAAGAATTGTGGCGCTGCAGTAGAAGTTTAGGAAAAGACTTAGGTAGAACAAGACTGGTTGATAGAAAATCCAAGAAACATTAAGGAACGGCTATAACATGTAGTAGAAAAGGTTGATAAAAAAAGTTTTGCTATGGGGATTGTTATTTGTTGGTCGATTTGGTTTCGTAGAAATGGGGAAGTCAAAGAAAACATTCACAAAAATTCTCAAAGCACAATTGAGATTGCAAGAGAATATTTGAAAAAGTACAATAAAGCTCAGAAAATGAGGTGTGGAAATATGGAGCTTAGGGTCGCGGATTGGAGTAAACCACAAAGAGACAGGATTAAAATAAATTTTGATGGAGCTTTAAATATTCTAGAGGCAAAAAGAGGTATTGGGGTGGTCATGCAAGATAAGCATTGAAATGTTCGTGGAGGTTTTAATAAGATCATTCTAAAAGGAGATGCTTTAGATGTCATACAACATATCAATCAATATGAGGAAAACATGTCAAGGATGGTTATCTGGTTGAAGAAGTGAAACAAAAAAGAAATGTTTCCAAAAATGAGTTTACAAACATGTTAGAAGAGAAGCTAACGAGGTAGCTAATTAGTTAGCAAAATATGCTTTTGAAAGTAGAGATAATGGGTGTTGGATAGATGAATGTCTAGGGATTGTGGAATCTATGATTGTTGAAGATTGTAATTGATTTTTGAGGAATGAAACTATAATGAGTTTATTTTTAAAAAGATTAGATATGATTTGGAATTATGTATTTATGTTTGTTAAAGGTATTAGAGATAAATTGTTTATATATACATTTGAAACAAAATCATTTGATCGTTTTGGATGGAATTGGGCCAACGGATTTTTTTTTTTTTTAACCAAAAGATGGCAAAAACGTTAAAATAGAGAGCCTGATAATAGCGCCCAAAGAGGCCAAGACTTCAAAACACGAACAGCCCGAAAGAGAACACACGTACACGTCAGCAGAGATGATGCGTTCCGTTTTGCGGGCGGTCTGAAATCCTATTGGTCAGAGCGCGTGGGAGCACATTCAAACGCCACGTGCACCGAAGTCCTTGGGACCCGAACCATCCGGAAGTTTTCCGATTCCCCGCGAGCCTATTTATTTTGCAACCGTTATACCCCTCCTCGTTCATTCATGCAACCGATACTCCAATTCAAAAATCAAGATTCATAACTCAAGAAAAATCCCCACCAGCGTTTCAGGTTTTGCGAAGATGAAAATTCGATCGCCATTGTCCTTTGCGCTTATATCAATGCTATTAGTTTTATACGGAGAAGCCAAAACTATTGATCCTTACAAGGTAATGAACTTTGGCCCCCTTCTAATTTCTGCTCTATTTCCTCAGTTCACTTCAATTTTCCCATATTATGATTTATGAGTCGTTTTTTTGGAAGTGCTTTAACGGGTAATCGTGAAATCTAAAGATATGCACTTCTAAATTGCAAAGAAGGAATTGTTGTAGAGATTTGTTAAAAGCTTTAGAGAAGCGTTTAGGAGATGAAGGATGAGCTTGAGCTCTTAATGAGAGACAAGAATATGTAGCATATTGCACATTCTTGGGTTCTTCAGTGTAAAAAATTTTATAATTAATTTTCTTGATCCTCAGGTGCTTGGCGTGGAGAAGAACGCGAGTCGAAGAGAGATTCAGAAAGCTTTTCACAAGTATGTTTTACTGTGAATTCTCATTTATTATGAAAACTTCGAATACATTCCTTGGTGATCTAGGTTCTGAATTTGTCATTTTTTTTTCTTTCTTGATGTGCTTATGACACTGTAACATACATCATTTGAATGGCGGCCTTGATCAAATTGCAGTGCACAATAAAAGAGCCACAAAGTGTGTCAAAGTTTTTTACCATTCTAGATGAAGCATGCCCACTGTTATTTGCTTTGAAACGGAAAGAAGGTTATGCCATTTTAATTAATTTGATTTGCTATAAATATGCAATGAATTAAATGCCTTTTTCTGTTGAATGAGAAATGTTTAATTTGTGGCATTACCTTATGGTATTCCTCCTTTTCATTCTTCTTTCTTTCAGTACATATTTCTTTTGCCATTTACTTGCACCTCAAAATGTTTCTTATTGCCATTTAAAAAAAAAAAAGAGGAAATTCTATTATAGTACCCTTTTTTTGGATTTGTGTTGATCTCTTTTAATACATGCATGCTTCTGCATATTCACATATAATCATGTAACCTCCAACACATGCACACATGTTTCATTGTTTTTCCCTGCTCATTTTGCTTGAATTGTATTTGATAGGCTCTCTCTTAAATACCATCCTGACAAGAACAAAAGTAAAGCTGCACAAGAGAAGTTTTCTGAGATCAACAATGGTATTCTTAACTTCTTAATTGTTGTCCTCTTTTCTTTTTGCTGCACTTTCTCTCATATCTATTCTTTCATTCTTTCTCTTTTTCTTCCCTGAATTTGGAAGTATAGTCTTGAATCTATATGGTTCCTGAGCATATTGCCCAGATGTGAAATTATTAACTAATTTATCAATATAAGAACAGGATTGGGGTTATTGGACCTTTTAATTTTTGTGCTGTTATTGTTGTGGTTTTTGTTTGTTATTAAGAGATCTAATTCATCCCTTCTTGTTTGATCAGCATATGACATCTTATCAGATGAACAAAAGAGAAAAAATTATGATATGTATGGGGATGAAAAAGGTGCTCCTGGATTTGATGCTGGCCACCCTGGGGATCATGGTGGATATACTTACTTCACTAGCGGTGGACCTGGACAAAGTGAGTTTACATCTGGACCAGGTGGATGGCAGCATATGGGTGGGCAGGGAAGTTCCCAGACTTTCTCATTTTCCTTTGGTGGCGCTGGTGGGTCAAACACATTTGGTAGCCGTGGCCGACCAAGTTCCTTTGGTTTTGATATTGATGATATTTTCTCTGGCTTCTTTGGGGGTGGTATGAAAGATCAGGGTCAATTTGGTGGTTTCAGTGGTTCGAGCAGTTCTCAGTCTCAATCTGGGAGTTCACCTAAGAGCTCCAGAACCTTAAATTCTGAGGTCTTTAGAAAAGAAATAGCTGACCAAGGGATGACTTGGCTTTTGTTATCTTATACACCATCATTGCAGGGGAAACAATATTATGAATCTATCATAGAGGAGGTGGCCAGTTTATTGGAAGGAGCTATAAAGGTAATGTTGCATTTTTAAATATTTCTATAATATGTATTTGCTAATCAATGCTTCAGATATCTTACCTTTCTTTTGGTCTCTTCAACAGGTTGGAAACATAAATTGTGAAATTGAGTCGTCTTTCTGTAAGGATCTTGGTATGCATCCTGGGAGAGCACCAAGGTTGTTTGTTTATTCATACAAAGGAAGTGAGAGGGGTTCTCTGGAAGAATACAAGGGTGATTTGATTGCTAAGAATGTCAAAACATTTTGCCAAGATCATTTACCAAGGTTTTCAAGAAGGATTAGCCTAAATCATTTTGTCATGTCTTCTAGTAATGTCGAAAAATACCCAAGGGTGATACTTCTTTCTACGAAAAAAGATACACCAGTTATTTGGCGTGTTCTCAGTGGCTTGTATCATAAAAGATACACTTTCTACGATGCAGAGGTATGTTTTCAAGATCTTAGTATGTGGAAAATTTTTTTATACCTGTGAAAATTTGGTGCTTCGAAACCTTATTTGAATTAGAAACATGCCTGCTCTATTCAATTTTGTGCCTGGAAAGGAATTGATTTCCTATTCAATTCAGGCTCTTTCACTATTTATGTAGGTTCAAGATGTTTCTGATCCAGCCGTGAAGAAGTTAGGGGTTGATGCACTTCCAGCTATAATTGGGTGGCTATCCAACGGAGAGAAGCACGTCCTGAAATCTGGTATTTCAGTAAAGGATTTGAAGTCTGCAATCAAACAACTCAGTATGATGCTTGATAGTTTTGAGAAGAAGAATAAAAAGGCAGCTTCTTTTCAGACAAGCGAAAAGCAGACAGATGCCACAGACAGACAATTACCTTTGTTGACAGTGTCAAACTTTGATTCTCTTTGTGGGGATAAAACTCCTGTCTGTATTATAGGTGCATTCCGATCATCCAGAGCTAGGGAGAAGCTGGAGTCCCTTTTATCTAAGGTGAGAAAAATTCCTCTCTTCAAAGAGAAGACTGTCAATTGATGAAAAATAACTGAAAAGGTGCAAGAGGAATGTTTTAGTTTCTAGATATGTTAATATTGTCCTGTTTAATTATAGAGTACTGGGTGTGTTTTGATGATGATTTTATGTGTTTCTCTTTTTACTTTGCAATATGAACACACTAGTTGATGGTGAATCATGTAGATACCACCATCATCACCATATTGAAAGTTTGGATTGGAGATTGCTTACTTAAATGTCAAATGGCCCTTCTGATATATCATACATAAATTCAGTTTTCTTGTTGCATGATATGTACTTTCAGGTTTCTCAGAAATCACTATCAAGGAGCCTGAATGTGGCATCTGGTTCTAGGGATTCTGTATCCTATATCCTCTTGGATGCTACCAAGCAACCATCATTTATGAGTGTGTTTGATAAATCTGGATTCAAATCATCAGATAACTTCCTTGTGGCCTACAAACCTCGGAAGGGGAAGTTTGCAGCATTTACAGGTGACATGACCATGGAAGAGGTAGAGAAATTCATAAGCTCTGTTCTTAATGGAGATGTAAAATTTACCAGGACAAGGCAGAATCCTATACTCAAGTGAACCAGTCAATGATTATGAACTCAGATTCTGGTTTTGTATACCATGTACAGAGTGTAGAGTCATTGCATCATCAGAACTCGTAATGCCACCTTGGGTGGTGTTCTTCCATCATATTCGTTTTATGGGTTGAGGAGCATCTGCATCATGAAAAGGTAGATTACAAAGGCATTGCTTGAATCTGGGCTGGAAAATCCCGGACCCATGGCACATTTTTTTCATATTGTTATAGTAATTTATCTTTTGACTTGTCAATGTAAATTCTGACCTTTTCTCAACAGGCACTAACATTTGACAGTATAGAAACAAGAAAATCAAGATTTCAAGGTTTTAAGTGACATTAAAATTTTTGGTTCCTTGTTTACTGTGTCAGCCCTTGGAAGTGAAGTTGATGCTTTTTGGTATATTGGTGGTCTTCTGCTTTTTGTGTCAAGAGTCAGAACACAAACAATTCCAACATTGCTTCCTCACTTTGGTAACTTTTCCACCTTGTCCTTGCCTCGTGAAGTTGTCTCAGGATACTATTCCTAAAGCAAGACACTTCACAGCTTATCTTATCAATGGCTCACCCACCAAACTGACCATTGTTTCAGAGATTTACAGCTTTCTATTGGCTTCCTTCTTGCTTCATTCACTGCAGATATGCAGCCACGCTTTGCATGCTAGATGTCGTTTTGAAATATCAAAATGGTTATTCTTGTTTTGGTACATTTTAACTTACCTAAAGCAAGACACTTCACAGCTTATCTCATCAATGGCTCACCCACCAAATTGACCATTGTTTCAGAAATCTACAGCTTTCTATTGGCTTCCTTCTTGCTTCATTCACGGCAGATGTGCAGCCACGCTTTGCATGCTATATTTCCCTTTCAAATATCAAAATGGTTATACTTGTTTTGGTACATGGCAAAATGATTATTCAACTTTTCAGTTTTTCAATTGCACCAAACTTGGATTTTGGAACTGAATTACGGGATTGTAAATTAATGGAAAAAAAGGAAATACTAAAAAGAAAACAAATATACGAAATTTGCCTTTTCCGGTGTTAGAATTTTTTGATTTGGCACGCATAAACCCTATGGAAATAAATGAATAATGCAGATCTGAATAAGATATTTCATATTTATTACTTACACTCTTCTAGTTGGGCAGCACAGATCTCTTCCATTGGCTGCCCTCCTTCCAATCACAGCACATGCTCGTGCTTCTTGCTGCGACAGCGTTATACAATGGCCACGTTTTGTGGCCACTCCACCCTCCACGTTTTACATTGTACCGTTTTCCTGTTTTTGTTCATGAATCATCACAAATCTTCATGTTCTTTTTCATGTTTAACCCTCTGATTTAAACAGATATTGGTTCTATTTATATCAGGATAAACATTATTAGTACTATTCTTAAACATAAAATTTTACAACCCATTTAAAGATATTAGACTTTAATACAAGCTTAAAGGTCGAATTTGATTTCAAGTTCTCAGTACTTTTGCCTCTCTTATCTCATTTACATGCTTATAGTTTCACCAAATCATCAACACTGATCTTATAGATTGACTCGTTGAATTAGAATTCATTCGGTAGTGGAATGAGAAAGATTTCTACCGTGTTGAAATATTATTTTATAATTGAATTTTTCAATCACAAAACACAATTATAACACTATGAAAATCAGTTTACTGGCCAAATAAATACTTGATCAGTTTTTTTTTTTTTTTTTTGACATTTTGATATAATCTAATCGATATATTGAATAAAAAATATATTTATGGAAAAAAATAATAGAATTACAAATCAATCCCCTTAAGACACTTGGTTGTAGAGTCCTGTTATGATTTTTCAAATGGAATTTCCTTTGTATGAACGAAGCTTTTCAAATGGAAGAATTCCCAGCAATTCCAATGGCTTCCAAAAACCAGTGGATGAAATAAAAAACTTGTTTTGCTCCTGGTTTTTCAACCGAAATATAGAACCAAATTATTTACTGCATAGGATTCGGTCGGATACTATAGTTTTAATAAAAAAAGAAGGGAGTGCTTTTTACGGGGGTTGGATTGGTTAACTGTCAATTCACGAGATCCAAAAGAGGCAAGTAGGACAGAAAAACAAAGTGGAGAACTAAATAAGTGCTGAAGCATTCAAAAACCATGGTACAGCTTAGCGACCGAAATTGCTATGTGTTTGACTGATGACGCTCTGATTCACGCCGCTTTTCTTCAGCACCACGAATCTTTTAACATGCCAACCGCCCTTGCATCCTTTGCCCGTTGACAATGCCCGTCGCCATACAAATCTATCCCTGATTAAATCTTGATCAGCGTAATTAACTATTATCTTACTATGTTTTTTCTGGGTGATCAAAATAAAAAACTATCATTTAATAGTTAAAATTAAATATGATATATATCTTTTAATATATAATAAAAATTTACTAATTTTTTAATTGCATTTAGAAAATTAAAAAATTATAAACGTAAGTGAATATAATAATATAATGGAAGTAATGTGATGCATAATAATTATTATAAGCACACAAATTGAAATCGAATAATTAATTTTTATTGAAAATAATTATAATATTTGTTTCAGGGGTGTTTGTTGCGTCTACATATAACCTTTCTCGACGTTTGGAATTTGGATCCTTACAATTAAACAAGCGCGTGCTTCACACAGTTCTTGACCGACATTCTTTATAGTCTCTTCACAAAAAATCTCCGAAAAATTAATGTAATTTTGGTACGAGGGAAATGGGAATCCATAGAAAACAAACCTCCGTCACGTCAATCAAAATATTATCACTAACAAAAACCGCCCGCAGTATCATTTTCCACTCACTATCGTCCTTATAAATTCCTCCTTCATTTTTTTTTCCCTTCACCAAAAAAAAAAAAAAAAAACCCAACAACAAATTTCCCTATTTCGTTGAAAAAAAAAAAAAAAAAGAAAACATCAAGCTTTTTCTCTCTTTTTCTCTAAGTTTGTCTCCGCCAGCTCTATTCTTGATTGCTAAAGCGGTGAAAAATCTCTCTTTTAAAATGGATATCAAGATTGGATCACTCGACACCTGTAAACCGACTTCCAACGACGTTGGCAGTCCACCAAAAAGCGCGGTTGCCACCCTTCAAAACTCCGTTTCCCCCACCGTCATCAACTCCCCAGAAGCCACTATTGGCCGCCACTTAGCTAGACGGCTTGTTCAGATTGGAGTAACTGACGTTTTCTCTGTTCCAGGGGACTTTAACTTGACTTTGCTTGACCATTTGATAGCTGAGCCAGGGCTTAACTTGATTGGTTGCTGTAACGAACTCAACGCTGGATACGCAGCTGATGGTTACGCCAGGTCACGTGGCGTTGGCGCTTGCGTTGTGACGTTTACCGTTGGTGGACTCAGCGTTTTGAACGCGATCGCTGGTGCTTATAGTGAGAATCTGCCTCTTATTTGCATTGTGGGTGGACCAAACTCCAATGACTATGGAACTAACAGGATTCTTCACCATACTATCGGGTTGCCTGATTTTAGCCAAGAGCTTAGATGTTTCCAGACAGTTACTTGTTATCAAGTAATATTCTCTCTCTTTTCCACCTGTTTTTATAAATTTGCTGTTCTTTTGGTTTGATTTGGAGGATGATAAAAATGGGCCTTTGGTTTTTGCCAGGCTGTGGTGAATAACTTGGAGGATGCTCATGAATTGATCGATACAGCTATTTCAACTGCTTTGAAAGAATGCAAGCCTGTTTATATAAGCATCAGCTGCAACTTATCAGCAATTCCTCACCCTACTTTTAGCCGCGACCCTGTTCCGTTTTCACTCTCTCCAAAGTATATTTTTTTTAATCTTTTGCAAGTTTAGGATTATGCAGTGATTAGTTTTTACGTCGAGTAAATGTTCTTTTTTTTTTTTTTTTGTTAATGTGTGTAGATTGAGTAATAAGATGGGATTAGAGGCGGCTGTGGAGGCAACAGCAGAGTTATTGAACAAGGCGGTGAAACCCGTATTAGTAGGTGGACCAAAGCTGCGTGTTGCAAAGGCGTGCGAGGCTTTTGTTGAGCTGGTTGATGCTAGTGGTTATGCCCTGGCCGTGATGCCATCAGCTAAAGGGCTTGTCCCTGAGCATCATCCTCATTTCATTGGGACATATTGGGGTGCTGTTAGTACTGCTTTTTGTTCTGAGATCGTTGAATCTGCTGATGCTTACTTATTTGCTGGACCTATTTTCAATGACTATAGCTCTGTTGGGTACTCTCTGCTTCTTAAGAAAGAGAAGGCCATTATTGTGCAGCCTGATCGTGTAGTGGTTGCTAATGGGCCTGCATTTGGTTGTGTTTTGATGAAAGATTTCCTTAGAGAGCTTGCCAAGAGTCTCAAGCGCAATAATACTGCTTACGAGAATTACCATAGGATTTTTGTTCCTGAGGGGCATCCTTTGAAGTCAGCACCTAAAGAGCCTTTGAGGGTTAACGTTCTGTTTCAACATATACAGAAGATGCTCTCTAGTGAAACTGCTGTGATTGCTGAAACAGGGGATTCTTGGTTTAACTGCCAGAAACTGAAATTGCCTAGAGGATGTGGGTGAGTATTATGAGAATAAACACTTTTTAGCTTATTTTAATCCCAATTTAGACTGTGAATCAAGCAACAAAAGGAAAGAAAAAGGGCCAGGGTTTTGAATTTGACATTGAATTCGAATTGTTTTGCAGGTATGAATTCCAAATGCAGTATGGATCAATTGGCTGGTCAGTTGGTGCCACTCTTGGGTATGCACAGGCTGTTCCAGAGAAACGTGTAATTGCTTGCATTGGTGATGGTAGTTTCCAGGTACGCGTGGTCAATTTTGGCCTGTTGTTAAGATATTTTTGCGTGGGAAAAGAAGCTATAGAAAACCAGTTCACTTAGATTCATTCAGGTGTTTATAATATTCTTGGTGATTGGTTTAATAGGTGACCGCGCAAGATGTGTCAACAATGCTGCGATGCGGACAGAACACCATAATATTTCTGATAAACAATGGTGGTTACACCATTGAAGTTGAGATTCATGATGGACCATACAACGTGATAAAAAATTGGAACTACACTGGCTTAGTCGATGCAATTCATAATGGTGAAGGCAAGTGCTGGACAGCCAAGGTGAGTCAATTCAAACTTGGTACGTTGCTCCACCGTATCAAATCAAATCCTGATATAGGTGAATGCTGATTTCTATAAATTTGTTATTCTTTCAGGTTTTTTGTGAGGAAGAGCTCATTGAAGCAATTGATATGGCAACCGGAGCCAAGAAAGACTGCTTATGTTTTATTGAGGTGATAGCTCACAAGGATGATACTAGCAAAGAGCTGTTGGAGTGGGGCTCTAGGGTCTCTGCTGCCAATAGTCGTCCCCCAAATCCTCAGTAAACTCTTGGCGCTGCCTTCAGCAGGGAATTCTATTAGCTTTAACCTTTCAAGTACATGAGAATTTCTCGCATTACTGTGTGGATGAGTTAAATCTGTATTTTCAACATCTTGTGTAATCTGCGGAGTGCTAGCTGATGTTTGCGTACATTCGCTTTTAATTTCATTTCTAGTAATGAATGTTTTGGTTTCATTTCTCTTTGTTTTGGTTAATTTGATTATTAGTCAAGACTCGAGAGCGAGAGCGCAAAATTGACACGTCAAGTAGGGACCAGTTGACATGATAAGGAGACCAAAAGGCAATTCGAAAATGTAGCGTGCGGCCGTTTTAAGGCACCTACGGATATTTTTGATAGATTGACCCTCCAAAAATCCCCCAAAGGCTTTTGTTCTTTTCTCAGAAGATATTGGAAGGCAATTCCTGACGACCAAATAGGTTGCAGTGGATAGCTTAATAGGTTAAAATTTATTTTTTTATGAAAAAATTTTAAATTTAAATCTCATCGATTATTATTTATTAAGATTATTTTAAATATATAATTTATATTTATTTATTTTAAATTATTAAATATGATATTTTTTATTTTTTATTTAAAAAAATAAAAAATTTATTTATTTTCAAATTTTTTCTTTAAAAAAAAAAAAAGAACGGCTGCAATGTGAGGTGCATTAAAAAGGTGTCACGAGGATGTGACTTGCTTCTTAAGAAGCAGATTTTTTTTATTCTTTCTAACGTTGGGAATGAAGGAAAACTGATTATGTGGGGTCATATCGAAAGATTAAAAGGCAAGGCTCTGGGTTGTAAGAATATAATAATGTTCCAATACAATCAAATGTGGCCTCTTATTCAGTCAAAAGACAGTGGCTGCATGATAATCTTTCATTCACCTCCAGATGTTTTCTTAGAACTAGTAAAATTTTCTTAGACTTTGACTTTTTCATAATTTCTGTTGTGCATATATTCAACGAGGAATATTGGTCAGACGTAATTATATTTTTGGTATTTAAAATTTTAAAAAAATATATAAATTGATATTTAAAAAATAAAATATATCATTTTTATTTTGGATTTTTATAAAAATGTATAATTTACTCTTTAAAATTTAAAATTATATATTATGTTAATTTAAATTTTAGTCCCACCAATCTTATAACATTTGATAAATATTATCAAATTATGTATTAATCATATATATTATTAATATTTTTTTAATAAAAAATAAAAAATATCTTTATTTAAACTATAAAAATTATCTAAGATCAATCAATATTATTTGTCCCATGGTATAACATAGTTGTTTATATAAAATAGTTTATATTTTTATTTAACAAATAACATGCATAAAATAAAATTATACTATTTAGATACCATATAAGCAAGTTAAATTAATAATATTATAATTTGAATTAAAATGATATATTATTTGAAAATTTAGGATGTAAATTTTATATTTTATTTATTTAAATATCAATTTATTTTTTTCAAAATTCAGATAAAAAATTTAATTAACTCTATTGCTAATATGGCTCCTGTTTTGACTACATCCAAGTGTTTGGGTTTCCAACTAAAGACGAGAACAAAGATTTCTAGTCCAGCTATATATAGTTTACCATTCCGGTAGAAACTCCCGACCCCTTGGAGTCAAGTCATTCTAGTTTAAAGTTTAAACTGTAGAGAAGAAAATAGTTAAAAACTAGAAAGTAAGTCTCACTTCGATTGAGTGCAAAATAATTTTATTCTAAATTAATGTTGAACAATTAAATAAACAGATATATATATATTTATAATTAAACAAATTACAAATTTAACTGACAGATCTTACTGTTATATAAACAAGTAAGAACAATACAAGTTAATATATACATAAGTAAAATTATTAAAATCAAACTCACGTTCTATGCTTCAAGTTTCCAATCCCACAACTCTAAAAAAGACTTCCACTTTATACATTAAGCAAGGTTCCATATATAATTGACTATTCTCAATGATAATTTGATTTAAATTGAACTTATCCAAAAAAAATCTTAATTGCAAGTTCGCAACTTTGAATCATAGCTACACAAAAAAATTTTAACATTCTGCTAGAGGCATTTTATGGTCAAAGGGATCAGATAAATAATTTATTTTAAAGTGTGAGTCATCAGTCAAATGGGAGCAACTCTATCTTTTCGGTCCAAGTTGATATGTCGAGTCAACATGAAATTTTGAGATTAATGAGAGATCTTGAAATTTGATTTTAAAGGGGTAAAATAATAATATATATGATCTTAATTTTTTTTTCATAAAATGAAACAAATGTATAAAAAATAAAAGACATAAAATAAATAATTATATTTAAAATTGTGAGTAATTATTTTAAATATATATATATAAATAAATCAATTGTTAAATAATATATTTTTATTAGAAATAAGAAAAATAAAACACACCATTAAATGAATAAAGTTAAAATTTTAAAATTATAAGTTAAAATACTTTATAATCTTTTATAAAGTGCTTTCAATCTTAATGTTTTATAAAAATCTACATGACAATAAAACAAGAGATTTAAAGTAGAATTATTGAAAATAGAAAATTATATGAGAAAGAGAAATTTTAGTCCCCAAAAGGAAAAGCAAAACATGTTTCAAGATTTAAATTCTAGTTGAATTAATATCGTTATAATATAATAAATTAATTTTAATCTTTTATAATAATGAAATGAAAATAATAATCACGATACTAAATTAAATTAAAAATAAATCTTAAATTCAATAAATAAATAAATAAATTATCTAAACCAATTAAAAGAATATTAAAAGAAATTAGGGAAAGGGATGTGATTGCAAATTCCCAGATCTTGGGATAATAAAAACTGCAAATGTATTTCATACAGAGTACATAGTGATGCAAATAATATAAGCGATTTTTCGATTTGATGTCTAGACGTAGATATTTAATTTGATCCAGGTTCAAATTAATTGAATTTTGGTCAATAAGATTAGTTAAACTTAAAAATTGAGTTTAATTAAATAGTTATTTAGTTACTTATTTATTATGTTATTTATTTTATTTTTTTAGATTTTATTTGTTTTTAATTAATTTTTGATTGATATTAAGAGATAATGATAAATATTAGAATAATTAAAAAAAAATAAAAAATAAGAATAGATCCTGTCGTAAATAAGGCTGGTAGAGTCATAGGTAGATTTAATCAGCATAGGATAGATTTAATGATTAATCTGATAATCCAAAAACCTAATCAAAAAAGAAATCTGAATTAGTATGAAACTCTGAGATTGATCTTTATAAATACCCATTGATAAAAAAAAAACACACACACAAAAAGTAGAAGGACAAAACACATAAGCAAAAATAAAAGTTTTTAGAAAAGTAGTAGTAGTTTTATAATTTTTAGGATTTTTTTTTAATTTTTTGGTTTTTTTTTTAAAATTTTCTAGAAATTTTCTTAGATTCCAATCAATTTTTCGACACTGTTTAAATTTTTTAGCAAGATTCTAACAAACGTTCTAGTTTTTGACCAGTTTCCTAGTTTTCAGCATCATCCTCTAGAAACCGTTAAATTTTTTGACGAACTTTCGATGACCCTACCTAGATTCCAATGATAATCCCAAAATCCAATGAAAGATTCAATCGGTATTCTTGAATCCTAAAAAAATAAGGAGATAAAAGAAGGGGAAGAGAGAGAAGAGGGGGGAGAAATATGTTGAAAAGAAGAGCTAATTCAACCTTATATATCCTGTCAACACAATATCGTTTTGGAGTTAAGAAACTCCTAGGATTCGCGCGTTTTCATTCAGACTGACCCGACCTGAAGTGTTGACCCACTTTGACCCATTTTCAACTTTTGACTCAAGCCAAGTTGAGTCACGAGCCGTGCCTCGAGCCGCGCCATTCCAACCTCTTCTTATGTCTGTAGCTAAGTCGTCCCTAACCGCTCCGACCGAGCCGTTTTTTGGTTTTTTTTTTTTAGTATTTATTTATTTATTTATTTTTTATGTGTTTTTTTGGATATTTTTGCATGATTAAATTTAGAAAAAAAAATATAGAAGTAAAAAAATTTTGAGAATAAATAATAACTATCCAATGATGGGATTTATAGAAATTTTAAATGGTAAATTTTTGTAAAATCTCTAGGTAGGAAATTTTGTCTAAATTTGTCCCAAGCGGTGGAATAGTTTAGATAAAGTTTCAATAACAATAATTAATATTTATTTTCAAACAAAAATAATAAATACAAAAAATATAAAATATATATTTTTTGAAATTAAATACAAATTACCCAAAGATGAGATTTTTCAGAATTTCAAATGGTAAATTTTTAAGAAATCTCTAAGTGAGAAATTTTATCTAAATTTATCCCAAATGGTGAAATAATTTAGGTAAAATTTCAATAAAAGTAATTGTATTCTTTTCCAAATAAAAATTTAGGTTGAAAATACTTCATAATTATCCAAGAATGAGATTTTTAGAAATTTCAAATGGTAAATTTCTAAGAAATCCCTAGTTGAGAAATTTTCTTTAAATTTGTCCCAAAGTGTGAAATAATTTAAATGAAATTTCAATGAAAATAATTGTTATATTATTTTCTTTCAAAAAAAAATAAAAAGAATTTCTAAATAGGTCCAAATTGTGAAAATTTTAGAAATTCAAAAGGAGAAAATGTTTCTAATTTGGCCCAAATAGTGAAATAATTAGATATATTTTCAACAAAAAAAAGAATAATAATTAAATTTTTTGACGACGGAGCTTCTTAAAAAAAACAAATGAGATTCTTAAACACTATTGAGGTAAAAAAATATTTTAAAAGTTCTACCAGATTGATGAAAGATCTTATAAATTATTTCCAATAGTTAACATAAAAATTAAAAGCCATTAAAATCAAGACCCTAGGATAAATTTAAAATAGTATGGTACTATCATTTGGATGGGCATGTGGGGGTGCTATAACATTCTCCACATGTAACTGAACTTTCGAACCCTGTTTTGATTTATAAACCCGAACCTATTCTTTTAAGGATCTTTTGTCAAGCTTAAGAGCTCTTTAAAAAGATAGATTCATTAGGTGATCAATCACATCTAGTTAAAAAAGATTGATAGCGATTCCATCCATTTGTTAAATCTAGCTATAGATTTACGGATCTATATGTTATGACAATTAAAAGTACACAAAGTTACAAAATATATACTATGGTG